TATTTTAGAATTATTACTCAGCTCAAATCCCTACTGATTTCAACAAGTACGTGTACCAACTAGAAAGGAACTTCACGATCACTGCTCCTGCTAAGCAAATAATTGTAACAGACTCTTTCTGTTCCTCATCCTTACCGAAACGGGCAGGCAGACAATGCTGCAACGCCGTGCCTGCTGGATTACCTGTAAGCAGCTCTTCTGAGCAATCTGTTTCACCAATTATAAATCTTTGTTTCAGAAAGGACTGTTTTATTACCCTAAGTACACAGGGAACAGACTGACCTCAACCTGAAGCCAGGTGACAGCTGTTTCCAAAACTGTAATCTGTTTATTGACGTGAAACAAGAAAAGGGATATATGAGTGATTGCCGATTCCTATGGCAGCTCAGCGTAGCACTTGTAACTTCCCTAGATTTGTATAACTAGAACCCAATTAGTTTTATTTCATATGTAAATGATACTATAAAGTGGAGCACATGGGAATTCACTGGAGCGTACTATTATAAAGCACAAGGCGAACACTTCTAAAATCTCTTCACATGCTTTTTATTTAGAGCCTCTCTCTGTCTTGCATTCCTTCTAGCAAGGAATTAAAAGAAGTTCAAAACCATTCAGCTGTGTATATTCAAGAAACACCACACACAAAATCACCAGGCACAGTGAATTTCAGCTGGTTTCTCATCTCCGGTGTTATCAATAACACGAGTTATCTCATACACTGTGGCAGCTGTGCAAATCAGGAAGATAACTTCCTAAATTTAACTATCAATTGGTCAGACCATGTGCAGATGTCCCCGAACGACTGAAATGCTTCCACTGTGCTCTGTAAAATTTTAGAAATCATAGAAGCCTATTCTGACAGCATCAGAGAAACAAGTTATCCCACGAACACAAGAACAAAGGAAAACTAGTTTCCTTTTGTCCTTCCTGCTCCTTCCCAGGTCCCTCCGTACGCCCACTGATAACCCCAGGGGGAATACACAGTATTTACTCTGACTTCATCCAAGAACCATGCCTCTATACTGAGTAATCAGTCAACAGCTCCCAGGCAGAATATGTACCACTGGAGGTCCACCTGCTTTTCCCTGACTGGAGCCATTTCATTCTGGCCTTGCGCTTCTAGACAGGAGGAGCCATTTCATAAAACTGAAGAGAAATTACCACAAAAAAAAAAATCAAAGCAACTATGACAAGCTGCTGTTTCACATGAGCTGGGGTACGCTGGGGTACACGTAGCTGAACAGTTCCCATGGCACACAGGGATGTCTCTGCCAACAGGAGGGGGGGAATTTTCAGCCAAAGAGGGGGAACTGATGGGTCAGGAACTGCAGAGTTGTTTTAGACAAATCCTCGTGTAATCAGTGATGGTGTTGCTTATTTTGAAAAGCAACATATGCATGATTGGACAGGTGTGTGTGTAGGGGGGAAAACCTGCTCAGTTCTGCAGCCAAGTATTTCCCCTTACTAAAGAGCATCTTAAAATATCCCAGCTTGGGTACTCTCATGCTGGAAAGCAGCACTTGGCATTGTTCTCTCTAAAAGTTCGCCGCAAGCTGGAACTTCTCCAGGGCCTCTCCTCACATGCATGAAGAAATCTGAGTGCTTCTAAGTATTTTAACCTGCTTAAGTTCACATTCCCCCGTTTGTTTCAATAGCTTGGCGGTTGGCTCTAAATACCTGACAGCCTTAAGAAAGAAAATTAAGAAAAAAAAATATACACAATTTACAATAAAGTTTTCTATTCAGTTTGAGGCCAAACTGCAGTAACTATTGGTAGTCGTATTACAAAGTTGTATTACAAAGAAGTAACTAAAACAAGGTTTACCACTTCTCCTTCTTTAAGATCACGTTCCCTTAGGTGAAAGGCAACAACTTGATGCATATTTTACATTACTCATCTCACTAACATTAAGATGAAGAAAGCTTTATATAAATAGCTCCTTGAAGAACATCATATTTGAATTTAGAGCTTATTCTCTAATTGAGCCAACAGCTCAACACTTTCTTGAACGGCCCAACTTTCTTGGAGTAGCACACAATGGCAATATTATGTATGCAGACTGTAATCATCACTTACTATGCCCTATAAAATGTGTTTAAAACAAAGGAGAATAAACAACTACCACCCACTGGTTGTCAGGCTGGCTTCTGCACGGCCTTTCTTGGACATGCAAACTGCTGAACAGACATTTCCTTGTATGCAATCTGTATAGATAGGCCTGTAAAGCTAGTCTGACCACAAGAGATTAATAGCTTTAGCCAAATAATGCGGTAACCATGTGAACGATGAGCTGTTCTAGCATGTTTGCGAGCCTCTCAGCAAGGTTCAACACGCTGCTATCTGCATCTTGTTGCCAGGAGACACAACATCGCCCGGGAACACAAGGGAAGCCAGGTTGCAGTGACCACCAGTGAACTCCACCAGGAGTCACGGCGAGTCCGAGCGGTGCACATGGGAAGGTTTAGCAGGTTCTTCTGATACAAGATGCTGTTGCGTAAAAAGAAACTGGTGATGATACACAGTAAAAACGTTTACCCCCCACTTCAAAATCTAGCTTAAAACTGTGTTAAGTCCAAGTTTTAGGGCGTATCAGATTCAATGTTTGAAATCAGAAGCTCTAGTCTTAACAAAAGTTTCACTCCTAGGCTCTCACTGATATTTATCCACAAACATGGAAGCTTTTCCAAGGGGTGAAATACATACAAGAGTTACAGAAACTCTCGATTTGTCATTCCATGGTAAGCAGATATTATAAATTCACAGCAGTCATCCAACCTTGCACTGGGGCATGATTTTGCAGCACTGGCTGATGCAAAGATCTTCACAATGTCTTTTAAGAGAAGGAAGAAGAGTACAGGCTAGAGAATCAGCAGCTCGAAACAGGATTTAGTTAGAAAATACTGGTGTTTAAAATAATTCCAGCCACTTTTTTTCAGACTACTTTTACCTAAAGAAACCAGGTCGGCAGACACTCACTGGGCAGCCAGTTCCACTCAACAAGATGAAGCCCAGTTTGTATTGCCAGAACCTGCCCCCCCCTTCCAGAGCTGAGCCTCGGGCCGATTGCAGAATCAGCAGCAGAGCCCTGACCCAGCACACCTGGGTTTTCAGAGATCACACTGTTTCTCTGACTTCACTCACGGTAACAGAATGTCATGTGTCTGCCAACACATCCGCGAAGTTTCTTCCCGACCGGCTCAGACAGACAGAAACTCTGTGTACCAAGAGACCAAAATACCCACCAGACTGGAAACCTGCAAAGTAAGTGTAAAGGCGGACGAGGCTATTCAGCCAATTTTACAGGCTGGAGATGACTAAGCAATTATGAAGCATTGTTTCTTTTAAAATTAATCATTCTTAACTCCATCATTTAGAAGCCGTAGATCATGTGCGTAGCGATGGATTCTGCGATACAGGCTTCAAAAGGAAAACTTGTTGCTCGTTCGTACAGAGCTCAAATTTAAATTACTTGCATGGGCTTGTCTTATTTTTACATTTGCTGTTTTGTTCTCAGAAACCATTTAAAATACTTGGAAAAAATGAAAGTTTCTCTGTTGTAAAATACAGCAAACCTTATCTGCTGTGCAGATACAAGATTTTTAATTTTTTTAAAAACAGACCGGCATATTTTTTCAAGACAATTCTATAAAATATGATTATCCTCTACTACACAGAACTTATTTCTTCACTCTCATTTTCAGTGCGGGATATCTATGTTCTGTTACAGCCTTCAGTAAAAAGGATGAATCCATAGCCTAATGGAGCCTGAGTTTTAGTCCCTAATCCAGCGTCCATTTAGGTGAAAGTAAAGACTGACATTGACTTTAAGCATTAGATGGGGTCTGTGGCGCCCAGTGAGAAATCTCACCATAGTAAATGAAAATTAAAACATTAAGGAAGAAGGGATATACTTTCTTCAGGAAGTGGAAGGAAGAAGAGGCAGAGAGAACAAATCCACAAGGATTCAGACAACAACGGCAATCTGAAGCTTTTACTACCCAACTCCAGAAGTGTTGCTTTGAACTGACTGTGACTGGAATGAGTTGTACCAGGCTTACAGATTATGGCAGGGCAGATAAGATATGAGAAACCTGATGCTTCCTCCAGGGGAAAAAAAAAGAAAAAAAAAAAAAGAGCAGTCTACACCCTGCACGCACAAGAACACGGACTGTGTAGATGTGACGAACTTGTAAACATCGGCACTCCCCACTACTATTCAAAATGGAACCTGCATTATAAAAGTTGAAGAAGTTTTGGTTTAGACCTCAGGGCGCAGGATCAAGCCTAAACTGATAACATAAAGCTGTTTTCTCATTTCAGAAAATGAGAAGATAAACACTACTGTACAGAGAGGAAACAACTTCTAATGCATGACAACGTTTTTAGATGGCAACTTAAATAGATCATCATTTCTGAATGTATCGCTCAGGTTGTCCATAGTGAAGGAGCTGAAACATCACCATATGTTATCAACTATATGGAATTTCCAGTCAAAGGGCTTAGCAGAGCACCTATCTGATTTCAGTTGCTTAGAATGTAATTATGAAAACGGTGCCTGGAGCGCATACAGTCAAGCTGGACTCACAGGGACAAAAAGCAACTGCTCTATTATTCCTCTTTCAATTGCTGCAAAGGCTCATTCATGCTGTCACTTTTTCTAATACAGAGAAAAGACTAATTAGGAACGTCGAGAACAAGTACAATGTTACACAACAGTCTCCCTCAACTCTCTCAGTTTCTACAGAGCTGAAGTTGGTTTATTTCACACGCTCCAAAGTCCTTCAGCTTCAAAGAATATTTTTCAGACGCTAAAAAGGAGCTTTAATAGGTGTGCAAGAATTTTCAGTTGTGGCAAACGTGCTGGATATTGTTCAAGTAACATCATCACAGGGTTTGTAAAACACTTGTACACGAAACATCAGGAAAAAAGAACACAGAGAGTTACAATTCTGCGCCACTGCTCAGTTAAGCACACCTGCTAGTAAATTCAGTTACCTACCGATACTTCACTTTGATCCGATCATTGTCAGGGTTGCAGTAGAGTCTTTCCAGATGCTCCTGGGAATCGTTGGTCACACTCTGCCAACTCTGGGTTGCTGTCCTTCTCACTTGCCAATGATAAGGCAAGACTGTGTGATGTTTGGGACAATCGCTGCCATAAACACAAGTGCCCTGGAGAAAATCCACACAGATTTCTATTCCATCTTTCTGATGGGTGTGATATTGCAGCTGGTTCAAGAGTTCAAACACCAGATCAAGAGAAGCTTCTTCACTTTTATCCTGGAATATCCCAGCACTGAATTTATTGCTTGGGTTCAAATTGTATTGCATGGGACAGCTATTCTCTTGGAATAAGCCAGATGTGTAACTTTCCAGAATCTTGTCTGGGAACAAAGGACAAGCAGCACCATCACTAGCAGCTGGGTGCAAAGGATGATCCCGGAATGATTCATTATTATTATTATTATTATCAGCAGCAGCAGTAGTTCCAGGAGTAGTTTCTGGTGAGAAGCCTTGCTCTCCCGACTGGACGTCCTGCCCAGGATGCCCAGAAGAAGGACAAGCTACTGGCAACTGACTCTGCACATCTGGAGCTGTTGGCACCAGCACAGTCACATTATTTTCTGGTTGGGGGCAAGAAGTACTGAGGTCCAGAGTCTTTTTCACAGCAGGTTCACATAAATTGCTATGACCACCACTTTTGCCTCGGGGCACAAAGACCCTACCCAAGGTCCCAGCTCCCAGCAAACTGGTAAAGATTGGCCGCAAAGCCCGGAGAGTTTCTGTGTCCAGTCTCTTCTGCACTTGCTGCTTCTTCTTGAAGCATGGCTTCACTGGTGGTATCTTTTCAGACAGTCTTATCTGAGGAGGAAAGTCCTCTGCAGGAGGACACTTCATTCCTGGGCAGTGAGCCTGCGGCACAACACACGCTGGCTTTGGTTCGGTGTCCATCAGACACAGACTTTGCTCTCTCCAAATCACTTTCAAATGTCCCAGAGCCTCACAAGAATCAATCTAGGGCAGAAAGGAAAACAAGACAGTTAATCTCTCTAATTGCTCATGGTTGACACGAACAAGATCACCCCTGGAGAGGATTTCGAGCCAGCAACAGCAAACTCCTCCCTTCTCTGTGACTGTGGGTAGCCCCTAGGCACGTAAAGCATGAAACCAGCTAAACTCCGGCTAATTAATCCCAAACACACACTCATCGTCCTCTCACACATGAAATCTCAGAGACACTCAGGCACGCACACACAGTCCCCGTGGGGGGGGAGCAGGAAAGGGGGATGGTCTGATGCCCTCCTCCTTGTGATGATGTTTAATAATAAACAGCGCTTTAGTTCATTATATTCCACAAAAGTGAACACTGCATTGTTCATTTTTATGCCTCCCTCGCACACACAGCAGCAGCATTAAGCAGGCACGCCGCCCCGAATGTTCCCACCGCAATTAAACATTCATGCAGCATTTCTTCTCCCACCAGATAACCGGGCAGACGCACGCACTCCCAGTCCATCCACACGGATCTTCCCTCACCCAATCTCACACATCCTCCCAGCGGCATCGTCGGAGAACTCCTGGTTTCGACTTAAACGAAGAGCAAACTTCATACTGACCTCACCAGGGGCCAGGATTTCATCCCTGTTTTTTTTAGACACGGGAATTCAAGGGCTTACATACACCCTGTTCCTCCTGCTACAGCCTCATCCGTGTCCAGACACTCCCACTTCACCCACAGCCCTTCTCACATGCCCACACACACTCTCACACTGACTCAGATGCGCAGCCTGCACTCCGTCACCCTGCTGTGACACACCGAGTTCAGCTGCCTCCTCCGAGGCGAGGCGACAAGAATTAAAACCGGGCAGCGAAGAAAACAAAAGGCAGCTAGTTAGTTACTCAGGAACAGAGGAAAAGAATTATTTGCAAGAGGAAAAATTTTTTTCTCCTACGGTACAAATAAACAGCACGTCTCGCACGTCACCAGAAAGCAAGCTCTATACCTTTTAATCAGGAATCTTGTAATATTTGATTACATTTAATTAAACCCTCTTCAATCTCCTTGCACGTAACCTCAAAGCTCAGAGTGGGGCACATTAAGGATTACTTCCTGGATAAATGCATTCCAAGCAAAGTAACGTCTCATTTCAAAACAAAATCCCACAAAACAGAGAAAAATTGGCAAGGATTTCCTACTACTGACGATTTTCTCTGGAAAATTTCTCACCCGGTCTTCCTTATTTTGGAACATTCATTTATAAGGCTTTTGCATTAACCTAGGAAACAGCACGTCAGGATTGCCAGGAAAAAAGGAAAAAAAAATTGTACCTCTCCAGTTTTCCATTTTTAAATTAAATTTAAAGAAACTGGTATATTTGTTTGCCGGTTAATCTTCCAAAATGATTGGTATCTCTGACACTCTTCCAGAGACATATGGGGCAATTCTCTTTCGAAACCACCAAGGGTACTTTAAATCCTCAAGTAACTTCAGAGGTTTAAAAATCCTCAACTCCGAAGGGGATCAGATGCTCCGGCTCATCGCGCCCAGGTTTAACAGCCCCCGCCATACGCAGGAGGATCTCCCGGGGTGCGAGAAGCCCTGCTGTGCTGAGGAGCTAAAGAAGTGACTTCTGGTCTTTTTTCAGCCACATCTTTAACGCTGTTTGCAATGCTGTTAGCAATCTCTTGACGAGCCTTTAAGTTTTGCTGCTATTTTTAAAGAACTGCCTTGCTGCACAGAGCCGAATCCCCCAACTCTAAAAATAGCAAGCGGCAAGGATGAAGACTACCGGAATTTGGTGGCGTCTCTATTTCAGCGTTTTAACCTCCCAGATCAGTCGCTATCATTCAGAACCGACATTCCCAGCCACCAAGAGCAACGCTGTGTCCGCACAACGTCTTTCACCAGAGGCAGATCCCTCGGTGGGAGATCTCAGTCCCCAAGTACTCGCCATCTCACGCGAACCGCACCTCCTCGGCTAAAGAACGCAAGTCTGCTGGTCTTAAATAAATTTTTAAAAAATATAAAAAATAAAGAGGAAAAGCAGCGGCTCAAAGACCAAACCTGACACCGACCAAAGCCCAGCCTGACGGACAGACCGCCCGGCAACTTCCCGCGGTCCCCCCCAAACCTACCGCCCTGTGCTGCCCTGGAGCGGCAGTCCTGCCGCCGGCCCCGGTTCCCGGACACCTTCAGAACACGGTCAGGCTTCGGGGGGCGGGGGGAATTAAAAAAAAAAAATAAATAAAAATAAATGGCTCGCTGCAGCCGGCCGCTCGCACGCCAGCTCTTCCCACCGTAACAACGCCGAATCGCCGGTCCGTGCGGCCGCGGGTCCCGGGGGGTTTCTGGAGCTGCCGTCGGGGCTCCCAAGAGGCGGGGGGGCAGGCGGGCTGAAGAGGTAAATAACTT